CTATTTATGTGGTTTGTAAAGTTCAATTGTCAATTGGTCAAATATACTGATGGGACCAAACCATGGTTCACTTTAACAGATTTTCATTTAGATTGGCTATACTGAATTTGAAAACTATGGTTTATAGTGCAAGTATACGATAATCAATTCAACTATTTATAGTGCAGTTAGATTCTTAGTGTAGCCCTTTGACATATTTCTCTTGTTGTAACTAAGGGTCTGTTTGATTGCGAAAATGAAATTTGGGTGGAAAGAAAATGAATTCCAGGAAATTGAATTATCTAGAAATTGTTTTCTTGGGAATTGTAAATTATTATGTTTGATTGGTATAATTTTTCACGTGAAAAATGTTGAAATAAAAGTATTTTTTGGTGTTCGTTTGGCTTTGTTTTATATGAAAATTGTCAATTTAAGGGATATCAACTTCTATCATTGTTCCTAGAATTTGTTTCCATTGCCAAAAAAAAAAAGATCAAAAAATCATCTATATTTTGGTGTTCGTATGGCTTTGTTTTACATGAAAATTGTCAATTTCAGGTATATCTTTTTTTACAATTGTTCCTAAAATTTATTCTCATTGCCAACAATTAAAAAAAAAAGGTGGAAAACAAAAAACCACCAACCCCCTAGAAAAATAAAAGGTGAAAAATCACGCTTTAAGGTGTTGTACCTAGAATTACATGGAAAATGAATTCCCTAGAAAATTTTGTCAATCAAATAGGCAAAAAGTGAAAGTTGGAATTCGAATTCCAAGTTCCATGGAAAATTTGGCAAATCAAACGGAGCCTAAATTATAAATTTATAATTGATACGTGTCATTAATATTATATAAGAAAAAACAACAGGAATTTTTCAATCTTATTATCTTGTCCGACAAACTGAACCAAGGTTTTAGAAGGTGTAAGCATGACAAAGACAAGGTATGAGGTCAAGCATTATGACCCTAATCATGATACAGTAATATAATTCTTGACATAATATCACATATTATCTCATCGTTTGATTGTTTTAAATACAGTCAACATCACCATCAAATCATTTGTTATAATTTTTCAATTAAAGTGGCAAAACCCTTATGACACTTGGAGTAATAAGATGTTCTACCATTTTTAAAATCATTTTAATTATGCTAGATTAGTAAATAAATAAAATGACAAATACTTTGTAAATTTATAGTAACTTTATAAGGTAATTAGCATAAAACGTCCTTACATTTTAATGTTATTGTGCAAAACGTCATTATCTTTTATCTTTAGACGTTTTCACCTCTATTTTCACTTTTCATTATAGAAAATGTTATTTTCATCCAATTTCTCAATAAAAATGTAAAATGACAAATATAACCTCCCATTTAAATAAAACGAAAAAAAGAAAAGAAAAATTAAACAACAAATTTCAATTATACTTTCGAACTTTTTAAAAAACTATAAATGAGTCCAAATAAATTATTAAAAGAATAATTAGAATAAAACACCCATACTTTTCAATATTATTGTGCAAAACATCCATATCTTTCGTTTTTTGACATTTTCACCCTTATTTTACATTATATTACGAAAATCATCATTTCATTCATTTTCTCAATAAAAGTTGTAAAATAATGAATATACCCTCTTATTTAAATAAAACAAAAATAAAGAACTATACTTCAAAAAATTGCAAAAGAAAAATAAAAATAAATTCCAAATAAAATAATTAAAAAAGAAAGTGGTTTTTTTGAAAAAAAAATTGTTTTTAATTATTTATTTGTACTTTTTAAAAAAAGTTGTGAGTATAGTTGTAATTTGCTATTTCCTTTTATTTTTGTTTTATTTAAATAGGAGGGTATATTTGTTATTTTACAACTTTTAATTGAAAAATGGATGAAAATGATGATTTTCTCAATTAAATGTGAAATAAGGATGAAAATGTAAAAAATGAAAGTATGGATATTTTGCACAATAATATTGAAGGTAGAGACATTTTATGCTAATTACCCTTTTAATAATTTATTTGAGCTTATTTGCGGCTTTTAAAAAAGTTTGGAAGTATAATTGCAAATTTTTTTAAAAATTTTCTTTTTTTTTTAATTTAAATATGAGGTATATATTATTTTACATTTTTTATTGAGAAATTTGATGAAAATGGCCCTTTTCGCAAGAAAATGTAAAAATAGGTGTGAAAATGCTAAGAAATGAAAGGTAAGAATTTTTTGCACAATAGCATTAAAAGATAAGGACGTTTTGTACTAATTATCCTAACGTTATATATATTTGCAATGTGTTATGAGAACTTCATACATATTTTTTAAATAACGAATAATGTTTTGTTAGTGGAGAGAAAAAACTATGATCATGGGTTTTTGTCGGACGTATTTCATTTTTAGGTTTTAAAAGTTAAATATTTAGTTGCACTTAATTTTGAAATAAGAAAAAATTTCTTGTCAAATGAAAAGATTATCATTCGGGCGTGCTTGACAGTGCTAAGCAAGTCCTTTAGAGCACTGGATTAAACATATGGTCACAAAATTTACTGGTGTGTAAAGTTCTCCACTCTGCAATGCCAAAATATGCACAAATTATATAAAATTTAAAGAAATGTAATGCCTATTTTCACTTTGTTCTTAATCTTCTACTATTAAATATTGTATCTCCTAGGGCTGTAAAAAAAAAATCATAAAATTGCAAATCGAACTAAAACAGTTGAGTTGAAACCGTTGGTTTGGGTCCACGTGGACCCGTGTTTTTTTTTTCCCTCAAATCGAACCAAACTGTTTCAAAAATGATTTGGTTTAGGTTTTAATTTTCAAAAACCGCATAAAATTAAATCGTAATAAATTTTTTAATTAAAACATTAATTTTATTGACTTAAAATTTTACAGTTTTCACTTTTCAGAAAAAATATCAATTTAGCAATACAAATTACAATGAACCTATTGAAATAAGTATAGAAAGTAAATTAGGTTCATTATTATTGGCATATGATTTAACAAGTTCACAACATAGGTCCTCACTCAATATCTAAACTAAACTAAAATTATTCAAAAATCATATGAAATGAAAAAAAAAAAAATATATATATATATATATTCAACAATTCAAATCATAATTCAACAAAACTATGTCAGCAAATCACGTCCAAAGTTTCAGAAGCCTTAACATAAACTTTCATTTTCCTAACATTTGACGTTTGTCTGTCATTGCTGAATAAATTGTCAGTCGCCTTTACTTGTTAGTCTACTAATTTCTACCCGAATCACCTCTTTATCTCTTCTATTTCTATAAGTCTCAAATTCTCATTCAAGCCATTTTTTCGTTATTCTTTCTTTTATTTGTTGTTTCTGAATTTATTAGACACTTATGAATTGTGGTTTGGATAGAAAAATAATTGTTTGTGTGCCTAGATGATTAATGAACTTGTTTGTAGTTTGAAAAAAAAACGAAGAACACATTTTCTTGATTGTGTGAAAATATTAAAATTCTCTAACTAGTACTACCACCATCTACTTTCATAAAGCAGTTAGAGAATGAAATTCGTCAATTCTCAATAAATCGAAACTATATTAATCTTTGTACATCTAAACATACTCAGTTCAATCCTTATTTAACATCTCACTACGAAGATGAAAGAAGTTTTAATCAAACTATAATATCAGAATGTAACTCTACATTTATCAACCGTTATATGATAATATAAATGTCAAACAAGAAAAGATAAATAAAATAAAGAACGATATATTTGTTCTATTAATATCTTTTAGTAAGAAACTTTGAAAATAATTTATTCATGGATTTTATGATAAATATGAATGAAATTTAACATTTAACATTATTAGTTCTCGTTTAAACTTATATGTTAACTTATGTTAAGTATGTTATTATAATATCGATAGGTAAACCGCGGATAAAATCCAACCAAACTGCAAATTATGGTTTTGTTCGAAAAATAAAATGGTTTGGTTTGAAAAATAAAATGATTTTGTTTGAAAAAATTTCAAGCCACATAAAATGTTTTGAGTCAAAAGTACAGCACAAATCACTCAAATCGAATTGCGTTCACCACCCCTAATATCTCCTGGCATTGTAATGAAGAAATGATCCCCGGCCAACCAGCAAATATCGTGGCCAATATATCGTCCATTATTCTCTTATGAAACTTTAAATATCTAATTTACTTGTCCCCATTCTTCATAAATAAGTTTGAGCGCGATTTGATTTGTGTCAGTTTCAACTCCAATCTGAAACCAAACTCAAATTAGTCAGTTTGGACAAATTTCAAATCAAACCAATTCACTCTAGCTCTTAAACTGAATTGAACCACTGCTTAGTCAAATTAATTTATTTTTTTTAAAATGAAATTGTTGGAATTTTAAGCGCATTTAAATTACAAAAACTAAAATAATCAAATAATTTTATATTATAATAACTATTGATTAACAAATAAAATTAGATTAATGGAGACAAATTAATAGAAAACTTAAAAATTTTATTGCATTTTTATGTATCAGTAGTATGATTGTTTGAATATGAAAAAAAATGCTAAATATAACATAATAAATTTGTGAAAGAAAATTTTCAGTACTATTGCTTATCGGCAATATCATAAATTAAAGGGAATCGAGATATACTTATAAAATTAGAGTTTATCTTTTGATTTTTATTTTTCTTAAATTAAAAAAATATGAACACGTAAGTGAGTTGAGTTGGTTCGATTAACCAATGATTTGAAATTTCAAACTATGATTGAACTGATCCACCATGATTTTGTTTAAAAGAAAACCAAACTAAACCAATTACTTGTGTCGAACCAACCCGAACCAACATGTTTGATTGGTTTGGTCGATTTTTAGATTTTTTGGCCTAGGCCTACTTTGTAGTAGTTTTGAAATAGAGATTTATTTATTATGTTGATACTAATTAGATAGTTATTCGAATGTGGAAGTTGGTCGAGGGATATTCAACACCCTGTCTAATATTCAATTTAACATAAATAAACGATATGAAATGTTGGATAAAAATAAGTAAAAGGCAATAGAAACATACTCCATATATAACAATTATTAGTAGTAATAATTTGAGACAACATAATTAGGGCTGCGGGCTACATGCTTTCCTTTTTCGTGCAGCCGCTGCTTCAGCCCAACATCACTGTCTTTCTTGACGTTTTTTACCAGCACTAATACAAAAGTGAAAACACAAAAGTAAAAGTGAAAAATAACCCCATACCAAAGTGGCTAAAGAAACGGAAGACCAAAAGTAAACACCCAAAACACACTTAAAACTAATCCTATACTAATTCCCGATTCTATTACGAAGGCGGGAAAAATCTTGGAAAGTAAATTAATTGGTCGAAAGGAAATAATTTTCCATCCCAATTATTTTAAACCCTGAAATTCTTGCCAGTGAAGGTCTGTCCAAATTGCCAACTGGCTGGTGCAATGTTCCATGAGGTAGACGAGCGACGATCACTAGCCGTGACCCTGAAAGACAAGGCTTGACCCACGAGGACTGAATTGGATTGCCAGTTTTGTCCCCAATTGCGACTCATCGGCATCCATTGAGTGTTTGTACCTTTGATGCTAAGCCTCACGATATCTCCTGCACCCGCTACATTAGTGATCAAAACCAAGTTGAAGTAACGAAAACCATTGATTGTGAATCTGATCCCCCCTTGCTTTCTACATGGTACCCTGCCAAATGTTTAAAAAAGGGGGGGGGTTAATGCCAAAAAAAAAAAAAAAAAAAAAAATTAAGTGAAAAGCAAAGAGCTAAAAAGATCAGATAGTGCAATTGGCGGGTATTTCCGGTACAGTGGACCACCTAAACGGCGCCGCTTTTAACGGAAGTGGTGGGCCCAAAGGCGCGTGAACAACAATAGACACGTCAATTTACTTTCTTAGCACAGTCCTACCCTGATTGCCCGGCAAATTGTAGCATGTTATTTTACTACAATACCCTCCAAAATCATTCAAAAGTCATTTCCATATTTAACCCCGACACATCCTACAATACCTCTGTCCAATGAAAATGACATGGGATGAAAACGCGGTTTTGGTTGGCAAATTTAACGCGGTAGGCCACCAAACACTGCCACCGTAATACTGCAGAAGTGGTGGTGCTAATGAAAGGAAATCACAAGGGTATTTAAGCCACTGTCCGAACCCTTTTTAATTTTTAAAAATTTATTTTTAATTATACATTTTTTAATAAAATAATTTTACATGTATATTTTACTAACTTTTAACTATAAATTTCCCCAAAAAAAAAAAAAAACAGTCATAAAAAACCAGTTTCCCCCGAACAAAAAGAAAGGGCTCAAACACGCCTCGATGTAATCGAGAAATTAATTTCAGGATATGTGTCCTCAGTGCGTCAGAAATGAAGATAACTAGAACTTTCGCATAAGTGGACAAAATCGTCATTTCACAACAATATCTAATAAACTAAACCACCGAAAAAGAGAGAAACAACAAAGAGGATAATATGGATTCTGTTAGCCATGGTTCGTTAAATGACCCCAAAACCTCAGCAGATTCGCACACAACTAGCACCGAAAAGTTCAGTCAAAAAAAATCCAAGATCCCAACAAGATAATGAAAATAATGTAACCATTAAGTAACTTAAAGTAAGTTTGATTAATTTATAAGCACAATGGGACTTGAAAGGTTTTTGGAACCTTACCGTCGGAAGTTAACAGGGACAATGCCGGCACGATATTCAGCGATCTTTAGGAACATTGGCATGGCAAGGTCGAAGTGGGTTCTAGGAGGGTTGCACCATCCGCCATTGTCATTAGGCAAAGCAAAGTTTGGTGGGCAGAAGTTTGTGGCAGTTACCAAAATTGTGGGGCTGCCGGCGTTGCACCATTTGGGTGCCTGGTCCGCAGCACATTTTATCTCAAAGCAGGCTCCACAGCTCAAACCATTGTTGAATAGCGCTGTGCTTAGTGCTGCAGTGTTCACTCCGTACCCTTGACTGTACAGATTCCCATACCCACAAGCACCACCTGAAAAAATATATCAGCAAGAAATTTATGTTTAATCAGTAAAAAAGGTGTAGATGAAGAGATTTAACGTTAATCGGTAAATTCAGTTAGCAGATTTTTGTCAAAATATGTAAATAAAGGCAGAGTGCAAGAAATCAGAGAACAGAGGAAAATGCAACTTGAGCTACAAATTTGTGAATGTGTATGGAGTGAGAAGAGTTGCAGGGAATAAGTGGGCACCCATGGTTCATGTAAATAAAGAGAAAAATAAAGGTAGAGTGCAAGAAATCAGAAAACAGAGGAAAATGCAACTTGACCTACAAATTTGTGAATGTGTGTGGAGTGAGAAGGGTTGCAGGGAATAAGTGGGTACCCATGGTTCCGGAAGCGTCGCTGCCGCCATAAAACGTGGCGTGGGCACCTTCCCAGGTGCCGCCGGTGTAAACCCCGGGGATTCTGGCGTGAGTAGCTGTAAGAAAACAGAGGATGCTAGCAATGTAGAGCAATAACTCCATTGATGCCATTTTTTTTCCTTACTCTCTCAGTGACTTTTAGTTAGAATTCTAGTTCTATTGTTAGACAGAGTAGAGTGGTGTGTGTAGGAGAGAAAGAGCACTAAATGGTTTTAGCTTGAATGGAAGGCGAGTGGGAATTTATGGAGGAGAAGGAGATGAAGGGGCGGGGGAATAGCCAGTAGGGTTAGGGGGGTGGCGGTGGGGTTGGGGGCAGAATAATGCATTCCAGTAAGGGCAAATGACCTGTAATTGCTAATTTTTAAATTATCGTCCATCAGTTAATGCTTCATTTATTTTTATTTTCAATTTATTTTTTTTCCATAGAGTTATGTTTATATGGAGTATAAATTCTAGTCACGCTTGATAAATTTATATATATTTTATAAAGAAGAAGAAGAAGAACAATGTATAATAACGAAAGCAATTAAAAATGGGTGTTTAAAATTAATTTTTAACTTTAACTTATTTATAAAAATTTGTATAAAAATGAAGCTGAGTTAATTTTTTAGTAATGTTATTTAACAACACTAGTGTTTAATACCAGTTTAAGTGACAGTACTAATAATATTAAGCTCCCGTTTGACCCCCATTAATTTTCATTATATTACATTCCATTTTTCTCTCTTCTATTTTCAACTACACAATTTTTCAAAATAATGCCATTCCACCCATTTTCATTTTCCGAAAATGGGGGCCAAACGGGGGTTAAATTACGAGCTTAATTGAATATGATGAATTATGGACCATTTAATATGATTTATAATATGCTGCCATCTAAACTGGTATTCTAGTTTCAATAGTGTTGAATAACATTATTCTTAATTTTTAGATTATTGGGGAGAATTAGTTTGTGTATCGGGAAATTCTAACAAAGTTAATACTTCAACACATACTCACCATCTTCTTGTTCCAAAGTGTAAATAAAATTAATAAAAAAAAAGTACATAAATGTTCAGAACAAAAATAAGCTAACGCAATCTTGCAATTAAGGGCTTGTTCGGTGGTGATTTTGAGAATTGATTTTTTGACCGTTAGGAAAACGATGGGGGCCACCCGTGAGAGAAAAAGTAAAAAATTACAACTAAAATAGGGAAATAATGGTAAAAAATCAATTTTTTTGGGGTGAAAAATCACTCCTAAATGGGGCCTAAACTTGGTACGCATATCATCACATATAACACTCCATCTATGGTCTTGTATTGATTTCAAGAACCAAAAAACACAAATAACAAACAACAACAATAATAACAATAAAGACAAAATCTCTAAAAAATCAATTTTCACAAAATTTATCGTCAACACATCTAAATCAAATAGATACTATAAAATGTTTAATTTTTATCTTTGCATGTGACTTGCTAGTGGTTGACAGGAAGCTCATAATGCAGCTTTATTAGTGGGGGAACTTCAACTCTAAGCCTCGTTTGTTTCACATTTTTTGCCCAATAAAATAAAAAATATGATCGTTATCAATCACATCAAATTACCATATTTGACTTTCTATATCTTGTGTAGGGCCCGTAATAACTATATTTTTCATTCTCATTTTTACATTAATGTTTACCAAATCGGACCTTAACCCTAAAGCAGCATTGTATTTGCATCCTATAGTGTTTAATTCTTGCTCATTTAACGAAATTATGTTACACGATGCTAATGTAGCTCCTTTTATAAACAAGTGTTATCGACACTTAATTGTTGGTTTAATAGATATTTGGAATGCCCCGACAATTGATTAAGTATGTTGTAGCAAAATTTGGATGGAATTTTATTGTGATTATGTAATAGTTTCTTTACTTTAAGTTGGTATAATTAGATAATCCCTAATCCCCCTTTTAATTTACATATATTTAACAATTTTCTTGATAACAAAAGCAATAAATATATATACTATTTGAATTTTTTAAACAGAATCCAATAGGGATTTTTTCTTAATTAGCTACAATATAATAATAATAATAATAATAATAATAATAATAATAATAATAATAATAATTGTCGAAAGCTCATTTAATATCGTTCAACCTCCTGTATTTAGTAATCTCACCATTGGCCGGGGTTGGTCTGTGAAATCTGGATGGGATTTTGCCAGCAAGCACTCTCCACCAATCCCAACTGTTTGTTGCTCGAAAGCATTTTTCCATAGAGTTATGTTTATATGGAGTATAAATTCTAGTCACGCTTGATAAATTTATATATATTTTATAAAGAAGAAGAAGAAGAACAATGTATAATAACGAAAGCAATTAAAAATGCGTGTTTGAAATTAATTTTTAACTTTAACTTATTTATAAAAATTTGTATAAAAATGAAGCTAAGTTAATTTTTTAGTGATGTTATTTAACAACACTAGTGTTTAATATCAGTTTAAGTGACAGTACTAATAATATTAAATTATGAGCTTAATTGAATTATGAACCATTTAATATGGTCTATAATATACTGCCATCTAAATTGGTATTCTAGTTTCAATAGTGCTGAATAACATTATTCTTAATTTTTAGATTATTGGGGAGAATTAGTTTGTGTATCGGGAAATTCTAACAAAGTTAATACTTCAACACATACTCACCATCTTCTTGTTCCAAAGTGTAAATAAAATTAATAAAAAAAAAGTACATAAATGTTCAGAACAAAAATAAGCTAACGCAATCTTGCAATTAAGGGCTTGTTCGGTAGTGATTTTGAGAATTGATTTTTTGACCGTTAGAAAAACGATGGGGGCCACCCGTGAGAGAAAAAGTAAAAAATTACAACTAAAATAGTGAAATAATAGTAAAAAATCAATTTTTTTGGGGTGAAAAATCACTCCCAAATGGGGCCTAAACTTGGTACGCATATCATCACATATAACACTCCATCTATGGTCTTGTATTGATTTCAAGAACCAAAAAAACAAATAACAAACAACAACAATAATAACAATAAAGACAAAATCTCTAAAAAATCAATTTTCACAAAATTTATCGTCAACACATCTAAATCAAATAGATACTATAAAATGTTTAATTTTTATCTTTGCATGTGACTTGCTAGTGGTTGACAGGAAGCTCATAATGCAGCTTTATTAGTGGGGGAACTTCAACTTTAAGCCTCGTTTGTTTCACATTTTTTGCCCAATAAAATAAAAAATATGATCGTTATCAATCACATCAAATTACCATATTTGACTTTCTATATCTTGTGTAGGGCCCGTAATAACTATATTTTTCATTCTCATTTTTACATTAATGTTTACCAAATCGGACCTTAACCCTAAAGCAGCATTGTATTTGCATCCTATAGTGTTTAATTCTTGCTCATTTAACGAAATTATGTTACACGATGCTAATGTAGCTCCTTTTATAAACAAGTGTTATCGACACTTAATTGTTGGTTTAATAGATATTTGGAATGCCCCGACAATTGATTAAGTATGTTGTAGCAAAATTTGGATGGAATTTTATTGTGATTATGTAATAGTTTCTTTACTTTAAGTTGGTATAATTAGATAATCCCTAATCCCCCTTTTAATTTACATATATTTAACAATTTTCTTGATAACAAAAGCAATAAATATATATACTATTTGAATTTTTTAAACAGAATCCAATAGGGATTTTTTCTTAATTAGCTACAATATAATAATAATAATAATAATAATAATAATAATAATAATAATAATAATAATTGTCGAAAGCTCATTTAATATCGTTCAACCTCCTGTATTTAGTAATCTCACCATTGGCCGGGGTTGGTCTGTGAAATCTGGATGGGATTTTGCCAGCAAGCACTCTCCACCAATCCCAACTGTTTGTTGCTCGAAAGCATTAATTTATGATTTATCAACTTTAATTTTAGCTATTCAAATCCTACGTACTCTAAAACGTAATTAAATGGTGTAATAATATACAATAAATGGAATGAATTAGAAACGTAAAGGTGAGTCGGATCGGACCGTCCAAAGTTGGGTTCACTTGCCTCTTCATATTCATGGTCCGCGTTGACTTTTATCGCTATTATTCCTTATCGTATTTCTAAAATTACTTGGTGTTTGTTTTGTAAAGCAAAAATTTGCTAAGAGGCTGATCGAATCTAGTCAAATTTTATTTTGATCATACGTTTTATTAAATTTACGACTTTTGTTCTTTTTTTATCACACATTTTATGCAATCCACTGAATTTTATTCACTAATAGAAGACATCACACAACTTCTTATTTTAACATAATTCAAAACTAGTAGTTAAAATGGAAGTGCCATTTGAAAAAAAATCATAAACCCCTTTTCCCCCTCATTTTCCGTCACAAGTGTTAATTTTTTTCTCAGTAAACCAAGTCCTCCCTATTTATTTTTCGAGTATGTATTATTAAAGAATTTTACTATTTGTACATAAAAATGGTATATAAGCGAATACTGAAAATAATGTGGAAGGAAAAGATTTGATGAAAAAGATTATGAAAATTATGCTCGAAAACTAAAATACCCAAGCAGATCCCTAGCAATATAGTATGATCTAATTCTCAAAGACTCAACAATCAACAAACCATCTAAAAATAATTGATGAGGATGTCAATCTAATGAGGTATACTAAATTTATTATGACTTCGTAAAATCGCAAAAATTAATTTATTTTATCGTGCATTTGGATCTTTCATAGAGCAAACAATAGTTTGTAGTAACAGAATAATTTGTAGGAATGATTTCAAATGTAATTACATTCACATTGAAATGGTGGTGGAATAATATTTCCTGATCTATCTGGTGGCTTTTAGTATTCCTATTACTCTGACGAGTATATGTAACCTGCAAAGTGAGGACGGGGCTTTCTCCCCCGTTTTTACCTCCGGCGATAGAATCAATATACGTATTAGGAGAAATGAGGACGAAATTCAGATGGCTGAAAAAAAAATGCAATCGTCCATACCTGTGTCGCCCTCGAAGGTATTTATAGACGTTGGAAGCCGAGTGAGAGCCGAGTGGTTGTGGTGCCACGTGTCCTCACGTTGGCCTTCCCATTACCCTTACGTTCTGAGTGGGGGGTTTTAACTTCCCGTCCGTAGGTTGTGTCCGTGGTAACTGCTATGTAACATTGTCAATTTATCAGAGATTTTATGGCTAAGTATTGAGATAACCCTATAGGTAAGTCTATGACG